TCTTTTTTTATCTGAATGTTTTGATTCAGCAAGCATGGATTCAACTGTTTAATGCATTGCGTGGTCTTTTTTTTACTTTTGAGTGTGAAAATGGTTTGCATGAATGGACATTCTGGTTGGTTGGGTTATTTCTCGCAAATTGAGATTGTCGCTTGAATTGATCAGCATTGATATGGCTCAGGCTTGTGTTTCTTCCAGCATGCGTGATGGTTTCTGCGCGTTTCATGTGTACTATATAGGCATTCATGTATGAGTGACATGCTTATGATGTCTGCATGTTTTCTGTTTTGCGTTTGATATGGACATTGCCTTGGTGTACAAAGGATGAAGATGGGATTGTATACTATGGGAACCTGTACACTAGCACTAAAGAGACAAATGATAGACTGTCGATATTCTTATGCGTTGATCCTATGATTGAGACTGTTGATGCAGTTAAGGTATCATGATATTGCAGTCTGAAACTCCAAAGCGTCAGTGGCAGCGACGATCGCAATGTCAATAGCTCTATGTACTCATACTTGACTCCTTTACCCTTGTCAGAAGGTCCGAGATAGTTTGTTTACTTCATACTCAGCATTACCTAGCCATCCAACCCCTCTTTCAACATCAATACGAACTTCCGCGGAGGTCCCGGCTACGCCTAATCAGTCTTGATCGTCACGTCCGGTAGTTTCAAGGGTGTAACAGAGTTATTCAGACTTACATGCAGATTATCTCCTGCTTGTTATAGGTGGGTGGTGCATCCACTGGTGGGACTATTGGCAGTGGGGGTTGCTGATTGCGAACTGAACTGAACTGAACTGTGGATTGGGCTCGCGGGGATGGCATTGATCCTTCTATCTAGTACTTACCTTACGTGTTAGGCAGACTATGAAGTCTAAAGTAGATTACCCTATGGTGTATGAGATATTGTATTGTTTGCTATTCTACGAGAGCGGCAGATCGAATTTGACAGATGCCCAAAGTACCAATGCTCATCGTAGACGATCACGTTTGAATTTGCTGAGAAGCAATTACCTACTCAATTTATGTGAACTGATATTAAAGTAATAATTGAAATTAAGATAATCCCTCTAAAGTACTGAAAGTACTTTCAGTAAGTACCTAAGAGGTCCGATGTAATCGCTGCAGGGTAGATCATGACGCCATGGTACATAGTCTATCCGCTGTAGATCCACACTCTCAAACTTTGGGGTACCTCTGGTAGCTCTATTGGTTCTCCACTTTGTGTGGCTGGTGAGTTGGAATGTTTGGATTGACGTATTGTTCGGTATGCACTTGGTTGTATTGACGTTTAGTGTTTATGCGATACGGTTAATTTTATGCTTGTACGATTGTCATGAAAGCTTGCAGATGTAAGGCAGTAAAGCCATCAACTACCCGGTATCTCGCGTACATGACTCGAGTCCATCTATCTCATGTGCCGACACCCTGGTCTGTCTGTTCATCGAGCTAGGAAGCTCCACTCGGTCACCGTGTCGGTCGTTGTTCCTCCAGGCTGTTTCCATGAATATATCCTTCTCTGCCTCTTCGGCTTCGGCTGCTCGTCGGGCTTCGGCTGCTGCTTGTTGCCGCTGACGGACGTAGAGTAGCGCTGCGGAGAGGATGGCTGCACCTGCCACAGATCCGACTGCAATGCCAGCGATGGCACCTTTACTGAGCTTGGTCGGTGCTGGCTGGGGAGCACTTGCGCTGCCGTTGGTCGCGGGCGGGTAGAAGAAGCTGGCGAGTTCGGGTGTACTGAACCCATCCAAGGGTGTCTTTTTGGTTGCGTTTCCGTTAGGCCTATGGAGAATGGGTCAGTTTCTTATGAAGCTTCGTCGTTGTGGGAGACTCACCCTCCACCAATCACTTGGTAAATATTTGCAGGGACCGCGTAATCTGTAGCAGACGCATTATACACACTGCCCCATGTCAATGTCGACATGTCGTAGAGGGCAACGCCTCTGTATTCCGAGTCACAGGTAGAGAGGTCGTCAGACAACGCTCCTCCCACTGTCAACATCTGTCGGTCGGCTACCAGGTGACAGGTGTGCCCATAGCGTGGCGATTTTCCCTCGGAGATTTTCGTCCATGTGAAAGATGGAATGGAAAGCACGTAGATCTGGTCGTATAACTCGTTTGCGCCCTTGCCTCCGTACATGTATATATTGTGGCTGGAATTATCCTTTGCAGAGACAGCGGCCAAGCAAAAGTCAGTCCGTCCGTCCGGTATGTCCCCTGACGCCTTCTGGGCATACCAGATGCCGTTATCGTCGCCCTCGAAAACGGAAGAGATGTCAAAGATATCGATCTCGTCGAATGGCACCTATTGGCAGAAACTGATTAGCGACAAATTACAGACCGGACAATGCGTCTGAACCTACGTAGGTTCCCTCATTAGATGCGCTACCGTCATTCGCTGGCTTGGTGACACCGCCCACTGCGATCAATATGCCTTTGGGTCCTATGCCAGGGATGTAAACCATGCCACCCTTGACTCGTGGAAAATTTGCCAGTGAGCTGGTGGATATGTTTGTCGCCATCTGTGTGTGGGTATCAATGACAATCAGTCCATCCAGGTAGCGGAGAAGGTCGTCCGAGTTCTCAAGGTCGTTCGATGTCCCGTTGTTGATGTACCCGTTGAGATAGAATGCCAATTCCTGGTCTGGAGCCTCAGCATATGCTCCTCCTGCAGGTCGGTACTCGGCGCCCAGTGTGACGTCGAATTGATCCCAAGAGCCATTGCTGGTGTTGTATGACCAAAGCGCATACTGCGACGAGGTTGGTTTTTCGAAACCAGGAAAACTCGTGTTCGCATACGAGACGGTTCCGCCATATTGGTAAATGCTCGAGTCCGATGGCCCTCCCGCATACAGTGCCCCGCGAACAACCACGGGCGGATCTGCGCCAGTTCTGGGATTCGGTTTCTTCGAGTCAGCCCGGATCGAGATATTCTGTTTCCAGTCCCAAGAAGATGTCAGGTCAACCTCGATCAAGTCGGTGTCTAGGCAGGGTCAGCACTTCCGACGTGAGTCTCTCGAACTTGCACCAGAAGAACATACTGTATCCAAGCACTCGGGCGCCTTCTAGCGTTCCGTTGTTGTTTTTGGCCACGAAGACTTCCAATCCCCCGTCGATGTACAGAGTCTTATTCTTCACTGTTGACTGGTGATACAGCCTTGAACAGTAATTGTCTACAGGATCAATTCCCGTCACGTTGGATGCTCCTTTTGCAAGCGATACAGCGAGCAGGAGTATTGCTATAAGCAACGCAGGCATCCTGGTGTGTCTTCTTTAAACTATGGTCGTGCTGATGAGCGATGTTGCGGCATCAGGGCGCACCGGGCAGCAAGGGCTCTATGTGCCCTCGATGGATAATTGGAAGCCGATATTAAGCGTCGCACGAACTCGCACCCATCTTCCGCCAATTATTAGTCTCACCGTCTTGTGCAACCCATCAGTCCGATTCTCCCTCCACCAAACTGACCTGCAGGGTATGAAAATCCCGTCGGTGGGTACAGGCCAGTTCTTCCCCCAAGCCTGGCGAATCTGACGGCCTGAACTGAAATGTGTGGTCGCACTACAGGGTGGAAGTCTCCTGAAATAGATGTTGAGACCGCTTATCGCTTACACAATATCAGATTGTGTCCAAGTTGAAATGATTCTTCCTGTCAACCTTGTGGCGTACGCAAATGCTGCAATTGCCGGTTCGGCCCCTCTCGTCTTTCGGAGAGTCAGGATCGGTCAATCGCCCCTTGAGCGACGCCAGGACATTTTAGCCCTCACATCGTCTCTCTAGGGAGGTGCACAACCCAACCCGCATATGCATTTACGCCCCGTCTCATACTGGCCCGTGGCGCGATCTCTAGTCTGAGTGACATCGGCTCGTGTGAGGAAGATTTGACTGACAATGATTGGCGCAACAGGAATGTGCCAAGGCCGTGCCAAGGACCGCTTCGACATTGACTGACTCTTCTCTGTTGCAATTAGGGCAGAAATAACTCCGTGAAATCATCAAGTTGAACTGTTGAAGGCTGGGAGAAGCTCATGTGGAAGGCCGTGCTTCATCAAGGAATGTTTAGTGTTCGCCCTTCACATTCCTCAGGGAGGGCTGAAGGCTTGTTGTGCTTGTAAAGCGAGGACCTGTGAATTCCCTCTTGTGGTTAGTTTTGCTGTTTTGGGTATGGTCTCCCTGATACACCATCTTATAAACACTGCCCACAACATAACCTCAAGTATATAAGAACCATCCCCTCACTATTCTAACCATCCTCTCTCCTAACTTCTTCATTCCCCTAAATTCCCCTAAATATTCTCCACCCTTCCAGTCGCTGCTATCATTTCATCTGCCCATATAGCTACCACCACCACCGCCCCTCCTTTATTTTCCCTATTAGAAATTGCAGCTGCGCCTCCCCCTCTCTTCTTATCTCTACTTCCTAGTTTCCTTACCAGCCATCAGCCTTAACTGGTTGTTCAGCTGGTTAAGCTGATTACCTCTCTCCCTTTTTTACTTCCAGTGAAACCATCTTTGCTGAAGATGAGGTCCTACAGAAATTGGTGGCTAGAGGGCTTACCTGGGATGAAATTGAGAAGGAGTTCGGTCTGCTCTTTGCTAAAAGGACTTCGCGGTCACTGCAAATGCGTTGGTCAAGAAACCTGAATCTTACAGTTCCGTTGACAAGAAGCTCGAAACGCAAAAGGTCTTCCCGGTAGTGAAAGTCGCATGTTGAATTTTCTGACGCAAATGCACCGCTGCACAAGCCGAGTTCGAATAAGCACTGAATGATTTCTGGGTTGCCTGCCCGGGCCACCTCCGGCCTCCGCCAACAGGTCTGCGCCAGGTTTGTCAGACGTCACGTCATCCGCATTGCCTGGCCGAGCTGAATCAGGTTCCGCGTCGAAGGCAGTTGTGGCAAGGCCCAAGAGGATCCCAACATGGTGAATAGAAGAAAAGGCACATCTGAGATCAACCTATAGCAACGGGGTGCTATATATGTATTATAGAGATACAAGACCCGCGATAGTCTATTGCAGCGTGTAACCAAGACATGTTAGATCATCTGGAAAAAGTGTCAGTCATCGAATGGCCATGATTCTTCCCACGCAACTCTTTCTGTTTCAGAATGTGCCAGCCGATCAATCAGCTCCGCCTTCGCTTGCTTCAAACGCCTTCTCACTTCATCATATTGCTCTGGCCGTACAACCCCTTTGTCCGGCCACAGCTGGCCTAGCGATTGCCTTAGGTTTTGCATTAACTCCATACCCCTTATTGCGCCAGAAACTTCTTCATCAATCAAAGCAACCTCATCTGCTGAGAACTGCAAAGGAAATGGCGGATAGCCAGAGGCTTGCACGCCTGGGAGGGTTGTCCACTCCTTTTCAAGATCGACGCATCTGGCTTGATATAGTGCCTCCCCATCTATAAGAAGATTTTGAGCGAAAAGCAACATCTCAAAGCTGGTAGTCTGCCGAAATTCCATTGCCTTGAATAATGTTTCGTTATTGTTGTAGGTGAACCTTCGATACAATGCTGCGAGTGACATTTTTAGATATAAATCCTGGGCTTCAGCTTGCGCGGCACGATCGAGTTTGTCAAGATTCTCTGGGAATGCTGGTGGCTCGAGATCTGTCGATGGAGGGCCATCATAGTCAAGGAAATATGGCTGGCGAGCATGGTCAAAAAGTGGTAATATTTCACTTGACTGCCAATCTATAATACCTAGTACCTCCGCTGGCCTTTCAGGGTGAACGAAGATATTCTCAGCATGAAGGTCAGGGTGCCATAGAAAGGCGGACGTGATTGATTTATCTGTCGGAAGAAGGTATTTCACAAGACGAAGATAGTTTTGGAGAGCCGCTATCTTCTTGGAACGAGAGCGACAGTACGTGCCGGGGCCATATAGCGACAAGAAAGACGGAGGTAATCTGGTCATATTCTGCACACAAACAATCTCCCGAAGGCCGACCGCCGACTTGTATTGCTCTGCACTACTCCCTAAAATAATCATGTAAGCAGATATTCTCAAAAAGGGGCAGAATATGAAGTCATACAAGGGCCTCTATCAAAGTCCAACTCCATCCTACCATCGTCCAGAAACTCTCGGCCGGTTGACGGGCCAACAGCAAACCGTTGGTATTTTGTTATAGACCCATCCCCCTTCACGAGGTCACACCCGTCAGTATCATCAGCATCAGATGAGTAGTATAGACTGCCGTATTGAGTGAAAGACATCGACATCCAAGCTTTTTGATATCCTGAAATTGTCTTCACGAGTTCAAATCTTTCCTTGATACCCATCTCTGACCAGACTTTACTGAGTTGGACGCCGGCAACCCTTTCCATTATAATATATTCCGCGCCAACCAAGTTGTCTTCTGGTTTCGAACTCCAAGCTAACACTTTTGGTACCGGGGTGCGTAGCTCATTTCTAACCTAGGTAGGCGTGGAGTATCAGAATAAAGGCAGAGCAGTCAGTGGTAAACAAGTATGTTTTGTACTTACAAAATCCATTGTTGCCACTTCGCTGGCGGTCGTGTAATGGGCCCGCCCTGCGTTTGGGTTTGGCACTTTACCTACGACTTGTGTTCCATCTTCCATTGTGAAGAGGAAGGTTTTGTTAAACATCCCGTCAGGAAACTTCTCAATCCGCACGCATTGTGCAGAAGTAAAGCCGACTGATTCAGCAGCACGCTTTACCAATTCGTCCATATTGAATTCAACATAACGTATTGCCATCTCGTGAGTTTCGTTGGATAAAAACCGGCCTCTTGTATAGCGAAACCACTCTTCGTTTGCATTGCGAGCCATCTGAAATGCCCGGTTGGGCTCGGCTGCCGATTGACTGGAAGTATAGGACGGCATCCGTCTTTGCTTCTTAAACAGAGAAAAGGCACTGCGCATGGTAATAACTAACACCAAGTAGGATAATAAGGAGTGAAGTGCAAAGTGCAAGGTCCATGTCCCTGTTAAAGTTGCGAAACATGAAAGAAGAAACAAAGTCATGTGAGATATCAGTCATTACCCGTGGAGCTGGGAACTATTTAGGCTGTGACGCTATACGGATCCTGGTTTCGGAGCATTGTAAGGCCGACGCCCGGTTGGAGAGCATGGATGGTCGCCCAGCCTTTCGATTGATCCAATCGTAACCTCACGTCAACTGAAATTTGATAGGATTCAGCACGCATTTCAGCTGAATCTAGTACCCAGAGTATACCTCTTTGGATCCTTTTTACGGTTAGCCTAGGTTCTAGCACAAGACCAATGACTGGAAGCTGCTGAGACCATGGCGAAGAGGTCGTCGACTGCTCAAAGAGTCGGCCAATACGAGACTGCGATTTATGTCGCGGAACTGCTGATATGGCGTGTGCTAACGCCTCCGCTGTCAAGGGCTGGCGGGAACAACCAATAAAAATCTAACCCTGCTGTCGTTCTTAAGCGCCCATCCGTCACCCTCCTTTAAGCTGAGTTTTGAAGCTGCAGGTGTGATACCTGATGCATCAGACCGATGGCTCTTTGGATACGTCCAATGATGCAGTAGCAGACACGCCAGCGCCCCTTGGTCCAGTACTCTTAAGCTGGCGAGTCGATCGGACTATTTAGCTGCCCTTGAAGCCTGCACCCTTCGTTATTGATATGGCTTCCTAAAGCTCTTGAAATATCGCTTTCCTTCTTGATACCTGTTCCTCTTTCTATCTAGCTCTCTGCTTGGCGGCCTGTTGCTAGCTAAGCTCTTTAGAGTACACGAAGATTTTATGCTAACTCTCCTTCAGTCACAAAATGAGCCGAGCAAGAAGAGAGTCTCTAGAGGCTCTGAAGAACTGGGTCCTGGGGAGGTCATCTCAAGTGACAAAATTAGCCTCAGGTCAAGGCATCGCTGGGACCAGAGCTGCACCCTCCCAATCCGGTTCGAACGATACGACGATTGGCTCGCGCTTGGATAACGGCGAGAAGGTTATGAAAGACGGCAAGGAATACAAGCGATATAAGTGGCAGATCAACAAGAATGCAGAGAATGCAACGCTGAAGGAATTGGCAAACAAAGATTCCCACAAAGTATGGGCAGAAGCGGATATTCCGGTTACTTCTGATGCGTCCGCGGCGAAGGAGGCAGTTGAGCAGTTGTTTGAAGACCTGAAGAAAAATATGAAGGAGTAAGGGCGGAAGTGTATGCACGTTTTTACCTAGTTCGTTCGTGATGCTGGTGGGGTCTTGTCGAAGCTCTGTACATACCAACAGAGGAGATTGGATGTTCCCTAGAAAGATGACATTCAGAGCATTTGGGGCACTTCCTTAACAGAGAATGAAGGTTCCTGATGACGGCGGGCCGTCCTCGCTAGGACTTGCGGCTTCGTAGACGCTCCGGTTCCATCCTGTTTACACTTATCGTCTGGTACTTTGGCTGGGCTTACTGACTGTTGATGAGTGATAAGCCTAGCCAATGATGGCCCATGCGTGAGTATCACGTGTCTTGCTGCCAGTTCTGGCTTCCAGTGACAAGTCAGATGGCCCAAGGCGGTCATTTTGGGTCACCCTAGTCTAATGGCTCATTTCCGTTAGAACTATCTCAGTCAAAGTAGCTACTAGGCCATAGGCAATGTGGCATCCTCCTACTACTTCGCTACTAGCTTGACCAATTAATTAACTTACAGTAGGTGAGCCTTAGACGAACTGTCAATATCCTCTAATAGTGGATTGCTGAGAACTTAATCCTCTTCTAATGTGAGTTTCTGCTATCCTACTTTTGCTTTGTGTATGTTATTTTGCATGGTGAATTTATGCGTACCAATGCTAAAGAAAAGACTAATCTAATAAATATGACTCGTAATCCCTTGCGATTGTTGATCAAACAAGGAGTCATTTTACAAGAGGTGGGGTATCCTAACAGCGTGAGAGGGAGGATGCCAGCAAATTTCCGGTGATTGAGATAACACAAGGAGTGCTTACTGGCAGCTAAACAAGTGTATTATCGTGCGTGCTCTGTGTTCTGAAAGACTGGGGTATCCCATGCGAGATTGATGCGCGCAGAGGAGTCATGAATCAAAGAGATAAGCTTTCCCTGGTCGCATACTTGGCGGATGGCCCAGTTACGTTTGCAGGATGGAGTATGGACTGATGAACTCGTGATCGACTGCGGCGTCGAACTTGGTGAGAGCTTCGTGGGCGGAAATTCTCGTGGTCTCAGTCTTGTGGCCTAAGGCAGAAGGGATGCTACAGCAGATGAATGTTCTGCATCTGAGCCTTATGCTCTGCTGGTACGGGCTGTGTAGTTGCTCGCAATAACGCGTCATTTATGGAACTCTTGGTGACTTCGACCGAGCAATGCATCCTGGTCCTGTCACTACAGTGCTCCTTTCGAAGACTTACGTTGCCTGTCTTGTTAGGACGACCACCCCGCTAGACCATGATCCCTGCTGGTTCGCCTATCCTGTGTATTTGTGACGCATACGTTGGAGTCAACGAGTGGGCCAGTGAGGCGGAAGCTGGGTTTCGTAGGATGTGTGTGTTTCTAGCTGTCGTCACCTAGGATTTGTTGTACTATTTGTCTTTGGACTTGTCGGTTTCGTCGCGTCCGAGTACCCTGGCGAAGGCTATCAGTCCACGCGTAATGTCCTATAATCGGAGCTACAGGTCTAACGACTCCAGAAAATGTCGTCAGTCCGTATATCCGGCGATAACGCGGCGTCCTAGGTTGTATTATTTCCCTGTTATAACGCTGCTGCGAGCCTGCTCCTCTTGTTGGATTTCGAAACCCCTTATCTTGATTTCCTGTGTTTCGGTACAGTCGCTAGGGGTTCAATATCGATAGTCTGCCAATATTCTGTAGCTGAAGGTCCGTTCCGTTCGAGTCGTAAGTTGATCCCATGCTCAATCGCAGGGGCTGAGCAACAACCCATGTCATGTGGAAGCCGGGGGAGGATAACGGGGCCGGGGCCGGGGCCGGGGACGGAGTATTGCGCGCATTATGTGTAGTCGGGAGGGCTGCGTCTTTGATCTTGGAGCCAGTTCAGTATAGATAGTTCAGCTCAAGTTGTGTCGCGTGCATTGGGCCTCCAGAGCTTCAATTTCGCTTTAGATCAGTTGGATGGAAGCTGGCGGTGAACATCATAATCCGCTGTTCAAGTATGCTGATACTACCTGGATGCGGGAAAAGGAGTAGATTTCATCAGATATGACACGTAGCGTGGAACATTTAGTTGTCCTTATTCTCCTATATGGTTGTCTCTGCGGTGGGTTGACTCGAGAGGTCATCGCAATGCATTGCGTTGCGTTGCGATGAGACGATGTGGTGTCCTTGCCGGTCAGTTGAACCCCGAGTTGAACCCGGGTTCAACTCCGCCATGGGCGCGGTGTTTGTAGAGTAACCAGCTACCGTCTTTGATTTCTCTTGATCCTCGCCCTGCGGACCTTTCAGGGATAGATATAATATTTGGGCTGATATATTCTATTGTTATGCTATAAACTTATTTGGTTTTTATGGCCGTTACTGCGATTTCTCTGGTGAAAGGTTCGTCCAGTATTCTTTTGCGGTCGAACCTGTAGATATCCCTCCTACAGCTCTATCAAAGCCGTATATGAATAGAACATTGGGTTGTAGCGTTTTGATATGGTCCTTGTGTGTCTTGGTCGTATTTTGAGTCATTTTATATGTGAATAGTGCCTATATCCAGGTATGTTGTGTCGTTTTCGTCTACTCCATAGGTGCATCAGTGTCATATATATATTTTCATATAGACTAGTGCACCACATCCATCCAACACCCAATGTACCTCAACATGACAAGACAAAGTTTCAATAGCTATTAGCAGTATCGAGCTACTAGATGACAGCATACGAATAGAACAAGTAAAATTACTAGTTTAATGTCGACTGAAGTCGAGATCAGACATATTATCGAACACCGTCCGACGCTCCAACTCATGCACGAGGCGCAACATTTGCACCCACAAGCGAAGACATACCCACAATAAACGGATATGAACCGGCAGCTACGGAAGAAGGGTAGAAGAAATGTCACAACGGACACGCGAAATCACTTGAAAATACATAACATAAACACGCAACATGTCACACCCATAACGAAGTCAAGGTGCCCGCAGGAATTGGACGAGACTGGAGCATGACCAGACGCGTCAAGGAAGGCGCTACGAAAAGAAAGGTGCAAGTACCACACCTACAAGACCAAAAGGTTGAATGTTTCGACCGTTCGTATTCATATTAGATTGCGTTTGATGCTGCAATCTCTTCAAGCCTGGGGCACAGCCAGAAGCATAAAGGCCGCTATGATACAGAAATTCAAACACGAACACTAGCAGACCAGTAGTGGACGCGCAAGGGTAGTAAAATAAAGCATGATAAAAGCAAACCCAGAGACCCATGACACTTTAAAAGAGCAAAGAAAACACCACAACGTCCCAGTCATACCGTAAACCAACCCGAAAAAGCAAACCGTCGCGTCACTGCTGCGGAAGGACAATCGACGCGCCGACCGCGCAGGATGGCTGAAAAAAAGAAAACAAGAGAACGTCTAACCACCGAAACCGTAGAGGGTGCCTGAGAAGATTGTCAGAGACGCGTCAAAACCCGCAATAACCAGAGATACTCACGGCCTTGTCTCTTCAGAGCATAGACGACGTCGAGGGAGGTGACAGTCTTTCTCTTGGCGTGCTCAGTGTAGGTGACAGCGTCACGGATGACACCCTCAAGGAAGGTCTTGAGGACACCACGGGTCTCCTCGTAGATCATGGCAGAGATACGCTTGACACCACCACGACGAGCGAGACGACGAATAGCGGGCTTGGTGATACCCTGGATGTTGTCACGCAAAATCTTGCGGTGACGCTTGGCACCACCCTTTCCAAGACCCTTACCACCTTTGCCGCCTGTAGAGAAGAAACGCGTCAGTGACTGCGGTCAAGTCGCGTCATACTTGTGATCAAAAGAGAAGCTACTTACGTCCAGTCATGTTGATAGATGGGAATTTAAAAAGGACTTTGTGTGTGTTTAAATAAGTGTGGATGTCCAGAAAACGACTTTAACTGGATGACAGATAGGACTGATGGAGGAGAGAAGAGCTTGAAGAAGTTTGGGACGGGAGATATTTGTATAGAGGGAGGAGGAGCGCGGGGAGGCTACTGGAATCACACGCTAAGAAGGGGATCGACCAATCAGAAGAGAGGATCCTCGCAGCGGGTTTGATCTCTCGGCAGCGTGACGGAACAGTCAGTGATCCCGTTTGGAATGCCTTGATCCCCACGGAATGCCGTCCAGCCTCGCTGATCAGAGTTGTAAAATAATTAGAAAAATTTTTAAGTACTATTAGAAGAATTCCGGATAATCGAAATACGTGACATTCTACGCTTGTGGTTGGGATCAAGGTGTCCTGGGTGACATTCTACATCAGTGATCCTGTGTTTCTATTGGCTGATGCGGGAAGCTGTCTCGCTTAGCGTTCCGAGCAAGGGCCGCCTGCATTCTGCGTACTTTCATGGTTCCTGCCAAAATTCAGTACCCGAAATCAGGACTTATGGTGTGCTGCTTTCCGACCACTTTTTGTGATCAAAAGAAACCGCGCTAAGACCATCCATTTTTGCTGGCAACCCAACACCACCCTCCCAGATCACCACCCTTCTCGCTTACTACAAATACCTTGCCCCCACCCACCTCCTCCATCCTTCTTCCATCTACTCACCACCACGACACTTTCGTCATCTCGATCATCGATCTTTCATCAACACCATCACTTTTTCATCAATAAATCATCAAATTCCATCAAACCTAATCATAAAAAATGGCTAGAACCAAGCAGACTGCCCGTATGTATTAACCTTACTGTCGTTTCTCTTGTTGTCGTCGGTCTCTGCCAAGATCGTCTCACAGTCGCGTCAGCTGGCCGACACAACCACGCGTCACTAAGAAACATCCTGCTAACTGTCTGTCAATAGGTAAGTCCACTGGTGGCAAGGCTCCCCGTAAGCAGCTCGCTTCCAAGGCCGCTCGTAAGGCTGCTCCCTCTACCGGTGGTGTCAAGAAGCCTCACCGCTACAAGCCTGGTAAGTCCCTTCCACTGTGTGCTGGTTATCAAACAAATGTTCTAATATTTGTCGAAGGTACCGTCGCTCTGCGTGAAATCCGTCGCTACCAGAAGTCCACTGAGCTCCTGATCCGCAAGCTGCCCTTCCAGCGTCTGGTTCGTGAAATCGCTCAGGATTTCAAGTCCGACCTCCGCTTCCAGTCCTCTGCCATCGGCGCTCTTCAGGAGTCCGTTGAGGCCTACCTCGTCTCTCTCTTTGAGGACACCAACCTGTGCGCCATCCACGCCAAGCGTGTCACCATCCAGTCCAAGGACATCCAGCTCGCCCGTCGTCTCCGCGGTGAGCGCTCTTAGATGGTTTCTATCTAATGAGTTGTGTCTTTTTCCGGTTGGCTCTTCTGGGAAGGCGATAACGGGGTTCTGTTTTCTTTTTTTATGATCACTGGCGATACATGATGGGTTTGCTTGCTTTCGAATATCAATGGGTTCGGCACTGGGTTTCTAGTTTTTCTTCACGATGAATAGTAGGCTGCCGATTCAGCGGCTGGGATTTGCTCATGTACATTACGGATCTCTCGAGTTGCTGTCCTTCGGGATGCACCACGTCGCGGCATAGACGCGAAATGCGAATATCTATGTTTACATCAATTCAACCCAGTCCGTGTCTTGCAATTATTCTCAAACTATTCTCGTGCCACTGTTCCTGTAGCGGGACGCGCCACGGTCGCAAGCCGCCCGCGTATTAGCTACCGTCAAGGTCATCGTAGAACCATGCTTGACAAATGATTTCATCATTACAACGCGAAAAGTTGTCGACATAGTCCTTCTATCTAGTCAACTCAACTCTGAAGCAATGTAGCGGTTAAGAAATCGCTCCATGTCCACAGAGGATCTGCACTTGGTGACGGCACAGTGGCGAACCGTTTGGCACAGGATACTCATATTATTACGAGAGTGGATCAAATCCTGAGCACCTACGATCCTTTGAAAATGTATGGAAACTGTAGTGATAACTACGAATTGGAATGATGATGACGTTGATGCTATATAATGCTATACGATGCTGGGAAGACATCCTTACAAGTCATGGAGTAGCAATGACGACGACGCTCTGCTAGCGATCCCACGTCTTCTAGCGTCCCTCAGCGATGGTACCTAGACGAAACGATACATAGAATTTAGTAGTCAATAGGTACTTGCACACTCACGAGGAACATGATTCGAAACATTGGAAGAAATCTACGAGCGAGCCTGGCAGCTCAGCGCATGTCAAAAATCTCCAATACGTCGGCATAGCCCTGCGTCAGCATCAGTCCTAACTGCTCAATATTGAGTGTAGAACCTTTCTTATAGATACTGCAGTTTCTAATAACCTGATACATACGACCATAGGGTGTGGAAAACAGGGCTTCCCGTCCGCTCAGCCGTACTTAAGCCACACGCCGGCCGGTTAGTAGTTGGGTGGGTGACCACCAGCGAATCCCGGCTGTTGTATGTTTTTGCTTTTATTTTTTTGAGCCTTCAATCAAAGGCTGGTCCAGGCTGGTGCTTGCCCAGTGTATTGTTTGGAAGTTGTTTTCAATCGAAGCATTTGTTCATATATAGGATGTTCCGGGTACCCCTAAAGCCCTGATAATAATCTTTGCGATCTCGAAAAAACTCGACTCTCGAGTTTCGCCACTTGCTCGTCGTCGGCGCGTTTCTTGCTTCGGTCGGGATCACGATCAGGTCGTTCTCAGTTACGACTGACTTGTGAGCCGGTCGCTCTCCTATTCCATCAGCTTGTCATCATCATCATCGGAAAAGTAGGTAGCCTGAAATGAAAATAATACGTAGATCAGGATACTCATTTGGACAGGTAATGAGACTGCTAGACGTAGAACGTTACTAGAAGCCCAAAGCACCCATCTCCCGTAAGCCCAAGGGCGGCCGGTGTTTCAATATCGCTTCGAAGACACCTCCGCGCTCTGAGGTAAATGTTTGCTCACTCACTGCCGTCCGTGAATAATCTACGCAATGCGGAGAGTACGAAATTACGATGACCAAAACCCGGCAAACAGCTGGTTGAAAGCCAAAGCGACAGCGGGGCCGGGACGAAGAGCTACTACTTATGATATACATACGAAGAAACTGCGAGGTTGCAATTACGGATGATTGAGCTATAGGAAGCAGCAATGTTGGAGTGGCAGAGTGTGTTGCAGAGCCTAGGCTACAGAGAGGACTCTCCAGATGTCCAGGACACCGACCCAAGCTATTGGGGCAGCGCTTGCAACGAGGTCATATCAAGACTAAAATTCTGACGCCATTTCGATGAGCCTGAAGAGGAACATCCCAGACAATAAAGCAAGCTAAAATCACAGTAGCAGATTAAAATGGATTGGATATGGAGCTACTGGACGACCTTCGGGGAGGATGCTAGAGAGCGCGACATGATACTCTGACATGGTTTTGCTGCAGATATGCAGATGGATTTTCCTTAGTATTTGTTCAATTTACTGAGCTAAATGTCATCTGCGCTTTGGCCGATAATTCCCATCTCTAGTTGCGCTGATGTCAGGAATCTTTCTATCGATTTGCAGGAGAGAGTGTTTGATTATCTAGGATGCAAGTCGACGGCATTTGGGAAAGAGCTGAGATACTAGAACTGGGATACAGCCATTGGATGAACAATGATCTCTAATTAGATATGTGTATATGGTAAACTGTACACGATAAATACAACAATTCTCTTCCAATGCAAAGACGCCATCTATAATGCAAACATAACAAGACATGAGCTGGGTCAACATCAGTCGGGTATATGACTTCTGAACAAGGACAAACTTTTCCTGCCATAATCAAGGTGCATATGCTCTGGCCGTAACAAATGACAAGGGCATCAGCGTATTATAGACACGTGTTAACACGGATTATTCGGTATCGACAAATATGTGTATGCGCCCGACCTGCACACTGCGAAGTCAAGCAGGTTTGGGGCGTCCTCGAGTATGAATCGAGCAATGAGCGACTAAGGTCGAAGACCGCTGAGCGGGAAGGATGGGATAGGTTCCCTGGACGTTCATTGTTTGTTGCTGAACGACTCGCGAGTGTGGACACGGTCGATATCATAAGGATTTCCTTCGTAGCTGACGACGCGGCGCAACGAAGTAGCCGTCCGTGTGGAGGCTCTGCTGCGCATCTGGCGGACATCCGGAAGTTCTTCAACGTTGGACTCAGTCTCGCTAACATCGGACATCTCAGGGGCAGGTGCCTCTGTGCGGTCAAAGACTGGCTCCTCTGTCTCCTCAGACTCTGGCTCTGGGGCTTGCTGCATCTGCTCGGCAAGCTTCCGCATGAACGCATCTGATTTGGCGGCATACTCGCAGCGCTTACGAATGGTAGCACCGTACTTGTAGAAGAGGAAGGGGAACGGAACACACGCAAGCGCCAAAAACGCCGGGATTGAGGACGCCCAATGGATTCCTGTTTTTCACAATTAGCCTCTTTTGTCAGCAAGAATAAATTCGAAAGAAAAATCTCACCTAGATCCTGATACATATAGGTAGTGAACAACGGGAAAACGGCACCGAAGACAGAACGGAGGACGGAATTGGCTGCGAGGACTGAAGCGGCGAAAATGGTGTAGGCATCGATGAGGTAGTTCATGATGCCCAGGAAAACCAGAACCATACCGAAACCGAACGGAGCACCGGCTAGGATACAAACAATCCAATGGATGGATGGATAATTGGTCCAAGCAAACCAGAACAGTCCAATAGGAATGGCAATCGAAGCAATCAAGGTGGGCGGCAGGCGTGCCTCAGGGGGAGCGAACCCACCGTGCTTCTCCTGAACTTGGACATAACGCTTGTTGTCCCAAACACTGTAGGCGACAGCAAACATCATGCCAACCATGATTCCCAGGAATGGGAGACTGCCAACGCCTTGGTTCCAATGACGGACTCCCTGGAAGACGATCGGGTAGGCAGAGAAGAGCATGTAGAGGGTTCCATAAATGATGGCCATGTACAAACTCAGGAGGAAGACGATCGGTTCCTTGAAAAGCAGAATCCAGGGACGAGACAGTGCAGTCTTGAAAGCTTCCTTGAGAGTAACTCTGCCCTGGTCGATGTCGATCTTGCTGACGTACACTTTACCGGTGTGCTTTGACAACTTCTCGGCGCGGCGACGTAGGAGAACAGGCGCATAGGTCTCAGGAACGAAAATAGTGCAGACAATCCAAACTGCACCTGAGAAGGCACCCAAGAAGCCCATGACCCATCGCCATCCTCCGTTCATTCCGAGGAAGCCACCAATGATTGGACCCAAAACAGGACCTGAGACGCATTAACATACAATCAATGCAGCATAAGGAACAAAGGAGACATACCCAAGAATGGAGCGGCAGCAAAAAGACTCATCGCGATACCTCTCTGCTTGGCTTGGAACATGTCAGCGATGACACCACCCGCATTGGTCAAAGGCGAGGCTCCGAAAGCGCCGGCGAAGAAACGAAGGATGATCAGCGTCCAGCTATTCTGAGAGCCAGCACTTCCAGCATTAAAGGCCGTGAGTGCGCAGTAGGTGACGGTGAAGATGATTTGACGGCCGAACATCTCACTCAGAGGTGCCCAAAGCAGAGGTCCTATTAAGTGTATTAGTCTCTGACAGGTAGGCTGGCTTCGAATAAAAGAACTGGAAATAACTCACCAATAGCGAAACCCAAGACGAAGAGCGAAACACCGAGCGTAGCAACCTCGCTTCCAATATGGAACTCGGCTTCAATCTCTCGAACACCACCGGTATAAGCTGAAGAAACCAGTGCGACTGCCAGCGTCGAAACGGCAACAGTCATGGTCAACGACCATTTGCGCAGTTGAGTCCATGTCATAGGATTGCGAGGATCATTCTCAATCCAAACCACCTCGTATGGATCCTCCTCGGTTCCTGAGCCTTTGTAGGGATAGTCGATGATTTGCTGGGTGAGGACGCCTTGATCTACCACCAGTCGCCAGTATGGGATCTTCTGTGGCATGGACTGTTCGATCTTCTCGGGGTTCTGGTCCCCTTTTTCAGTCGCCATGATGGGCGATTAATCGGTGCGGAACTCGAGCGGAGGTACGGATATATGCGGTTTGATCGTGGAATAATCGGGAGTATTATAGATCTAGATAAGAGGGATTCGAGACTGTTTGTTTCTGAAAGAGCGATCGTGGTAGAATAAGAGAGATTAGAAATTTAGTAGTATGGACAGCGACCGCCGAATGCGGAGGATTGGGAAGTATAGTGTTCTGGATTAGGAAATAGGCGAGTTGTACTGTATGTACAGAAAAAACGTAAGGTAGGTAAGGAAAGAAAAAATGTATGGGGTATCAATAATAATAACAAGATAAGGTCACTCAAGAAGACCAGAACAAGAATGATGGAAAATGAGGAACATATATAACTTGCTTCAAGAATGGATTTTTCTAATTTTTCCCTTTTTTTCCCTTGGTTTTTTATGTCTTGCTTCTTGATTTCATGGCACCGTCACCGGGGAGTCATTAGCCTCGGACCCCTGCCGTAGAAAACGCCCTCCCGTATCCATAGATAGCCCACAGAGAGAAGAAGAAAGAGAATAGAAATCCGTTCTAGGCCAATCAGCGGGTCGCAACGCCGAAATTTGTGGCATTAATCGGGTTATGCTCAGCATTAGTCCGTCAGCCAACGTCGGCCTTGGCCGATGTGGAGCAAGCAGCCGCCATCTATTGAAGCTCGAGATCCATGGGCGCTGGATACCTCGTGGTCTGGATCATTAGCATAAGGTAGGTGGTACAGGCACAGTCGTTGAGATGATTCTTCTTCGATGTGTCAATACGAAGCAATTCGCGATCATACCTGAGTTGGATTCGAGGTTTGTGTACCTCTCTGCGGGGTATGAATCCCACTGCAAAGCATGGGCTGGTACAGAGTCAACTGAGTTCAATTGTAGCGTCATCGATCATCAACCTCGATCCCAATGCACACTAGGCATGAATGTGCCGGGGGCTTTGCATAAAATGTCTGTTTCGGGACTAGCGTCTCCCAGTACTCGGCTCTCGGCATCTCGTCCTACAGGACTTACCTTTGTAATAATAATAATAAACTCCGTAGCACTGCTGCAACTGCAAGTCCTGATCATTTCTAATCTCCGCAAGAGTCCTGACAGGTCAATACATACGGAGTACATGCATTGAGATGCCGCTTATCTCCGTTCAGATCATGCTGTGTAAAGTTGTAAATTGTATACTCACTTGATTATCAATCACGTACAATTTAATCACATCTGCCGGAGCCACGCCACGTAATAGAAATTTCGCAATGGAAGTATTCTGGTGTTTTTGGCCGAGGCTCAGTTCATGAACCTCCTGGATGCTTCTGGTTTTGGTGTTGCCACCGACGCTAAGCCCTCAGACACGGTCTTGGCATGTCGTCTAATACTGAATTTTTCTTGCCTGATATTATCTAGTCTTAGCCGAGATACTGTTCCAGATGTGAATTATCTCTTGGCAATGTACAATAGGAAATCTTATCACAGTGTTTCGACCCAGGAGACGATCATGCCGTCATTGTACGGAGCACCGAGTAGTTGATCGTCTATCAATCGATCTCAATCTTTTCAATCCTTCATAAGTCAAGACCCTCGGATGGCCGGGTTCTCGATAGAAGGCTACTATCAGTCAGGCAGCCAGATTTTATCCATCAGACGTTTTAGTCTAAGTCGTGTTAGGGGATTTATCAGGTCTACCCCTTATGACCCACTCTCATTTTATCCCAGGGAATTGACATCTTACATTCATAAATTATTTAGGCTGCATAACTGTCGAATGACACTTTCGGGTGGACCCCGTTGTGGAAGCATATATATATATAGTTCAAATTATTGTTCAGTCATCTTCTTCCTGGCGTATTGCGCTCCAGAACCTCAGTGTTGTTTATTCTGCGCTAGAAATATGTCGTCGTATTGATCTTATCTAGCTGAATCCGACACTCAACGCTTGAGGCTCTGTCTGTTCTGCATGATTACTGAAGTGCATACACGGTACAGTAGCGTCTGCAACATGCCATACCTATTCTGTACACTATTAGGCTTTTGCACTGATCGCCAGTTCAGGCTTTCAGGCACAGCCAGACTCTGAGTGTGTGTACGAGCCAGGCGAATCTAGATCTAGCATTATTTTGATCTCTAACCCCACCATAGCCGTTGGCACGTAGCATGGATCCGTATTCCCCAAGATCACTACGAATACATCCCGGGCTCAACGTTATGCAAGAAGCACGGTCTCAGAAGTACCAATTTGACTTCTAGGAATCATAGATGGCACTTCAGACCAAAAAACACATATCACTTTCATTCAGCTCAAAAAGATGACCTATACTCCAGTGCCTCAGTAAGTTGTCTCAAATTAACAATGTTGATGATAAATCAAACCAAAGCAGGGTGGCCTCTAACCGAGGCACATCTCCCTTTCTTATCAAAGACTGATAGCACGTACCCCCTCTAAAATTTCCCCTATCGTTGTGATCAGTAATAAAGCATAGAATGGATGACCGATTCACTAATCAATTACGTAGTTCCTAATGTATTCATCTGATATTTTTGCTTGTATACAGAATTGTTGTCTGAGGTAATTAATCTCACAAACTCAGGACTCGAGATCTTGCTGTCTCCTCATCAAGTCCTTTGCTCGGCGGCTTGCTCTCTTCCTCTTCCCATTGTCTCTCGTGTGGAGTCTGACTATTCGAAGACACCATGTCAAATACAGCTCAACCCAAGATCGACCGTTACCGCACTGTTTTATCCTAGAAGTATGATTCTTGAGATAATGGCTGGATCGACAGACCTTAATGCGCTCGCCCACTCATGCAGCAGCCACACAACCTCTATCACCTTCTTACTAGAGGACGGACGAGATAGGGATTAGAGAATGACCAAGGACCCAGCATCAGCGAAACCTTAGCATTTAGGGTCACGAAGAACTCAGTCCTGCATGGATGTTTTGTTTCGAAATGCGAGCTCACCTGTGCAATGACCGCAATGCTCGACTCGAAGTACGAAACGTATCCGCTCTCGGACCGGGATTCAGCATCAGTCTCCATGCGATATCCCGGGGTATATCTAAACAAACTGAGCAATAGAATCAACCAAATGACGCTAACTCAGGCATACGAAAGTCATTATGGATGGTCTTGACCACGTAGGTGGCACGACCTAGGGACCCCAGGTTCGATGTCTTTGGCAAAGGGATTGTTTTCCTAGTAGAGACTGGCAGGCGCTTTTTAGGATGCGCAGCGATCGCATAATTCATGAAGCTCGAAGGGAGAACTCCGGCTTGGTCAAAGTCGATCACCCAGAGCTGGCCGTGCTTATCGATGGGAAAATTGCTTGGGTGCATATCTGCATAGTAGCATAGGAGCGGTTCAGTACTGAAATCCAGCTTATCTTGTTCCCGGTGATACCGTTGTATAATTCAAGGCACTACCATATGTTAGTTTAACCTGGAGATTTGCTCCCTAATCAAACAGAGAAAAAGACCTACTCTATTGAGATAATCTTCAAGCCCTGCGGCAGAAGAAAACGGAACAGGAGGCTCGCTGTCTCGAAAGAAATGATGCCTGTAGGTGCCACCAGTAAAGCTCCCAAAGACCCCAGGTGGCGGTGGGATACTGATCGACTCGGAAAGGGCTCGTGCTCTCTGTTCATCCGAAGCAGATCGCTCAAGGTCGATGTCAATATACTCCATGACTATGTAGGTATATCCCCTGCGCTTGGCCCCGCCCACTTCAAACGCGTGGTAGACCTCAGGTATCCGGATAGTGGAGTTGTTTCTTTCTCTACTCTTCTGACGGAAGAATACCTGCGCGTGGGCTTCCTAGATTGTGACATTGTTATATTTGATAGAAAAGGTATTGCCTCCGCAGAATAGGTGAGGGTATTGGAGTCAAAGCCCTTTTTCTTGCAGAGGCGCACCACCACATCCTTGGGAGGCAAGCCTAGGATGGCAGGGTTGTAGATTTCGCTTAGAGTAGTCGACATAGCGGTAGCACTGTTATGTTACTTTAAACGAGGGATAAAGGGGGATAACGTTGGGGACGATGACCAGGATGTAGGATCCATGGATGATGGTGGGCTACCTGATGACAAGGCAGTCCCAGAATGTTAAGATTTGTCTATGTCATTATTATGAGGGTTCTCTGTGATGACTATATAGTCTAGATGAGCTCATAATATTTTGCTGGTTGAATAGGTCTAGCGTATGTATCATCTTGCAATTTGGTGTGTCTGTTTAGAAAGATATGTATATAGTAATCAAAGTAGAGCAAATTAAGCTACATTAGTCTATGAAGGGGTCTTCATTATTACTGTTACTAAAGTTGAGACTGGCAAATAGCCTTTGTTTACTGTCTGCTGTTCTATTACTATAGTTAGCTAGATGTCTTTCTGTTATTGTTCTTCTTCTCTTATGCTAGTCTCACATCACAGCACCTCTCTTAATCTAATGAGGTCCTTACTCTCCTCTTTCCTTTATTTTATATATGTCTACATGTTTTGTAGACTAACCTAACCGCACTGAGAAGGACCTGATTATTATATGCCGGCTCAAGTTAGGTCATAGACCGGCACGTGAGATGAGTCCTATATTATGTCCTTAGTATTGATATTCCACCAAATCTCTCCATCTCTATTGCCAGCTAACTCCTATAGAGGAACCAGAAGACTTCACGCCTGGGTAGGCTTTTCTCTCCCTTGCAAGTCTGAAAATATATGCAGTAACATATGTGCTGGGATATTCTATTAAAATTGACTCGTCAAATAGTAGGTATGACGTGCTGGAGTCTCGCACCCTTGGGATAGACAGAGGCTTCCATGGAACACTGAATTTCTAAGCAAGATGGACATTTCTCCAGGAGACTCCATGGGAGGTACCCCCTTCCGTGAATGTGTTACCATCGACTTCCGACAACATTCTCTTACATCTACCACCATCCCCTAGCCTGTCATCCAGCTACCTCGCCTAGTCATGGACGATACCTACTTCCCTGATGAGCTTTGGCTCAATAGGGAAATCGAATTCACCTCCCCTTCACCCTCTGCTTGGAAACTGACCGTGAAACTCAAGGAAAGCATTGGGCTTTTGAGCCAGAAAGAATCCGAGGAATACCAAGACACTTCCTTGTTATCGCTATGTTTGAATGCCACCGCTCTAGCGATCCGACTCAACAGGCCCGAGTGATAATCTACATGCAGATCCCAAATAGGGGAACTCAGGCTCTGCCCCCTGACATGCGCCGCAGACAAGCTTCTGGCGAGGTCCCTGACATCTTTAAAGAGGAGTGTGAAGCCTACAAACGCCTGGCTGATCACCAAATTGATTTTACTCCTCAACTCGTCGGCTTTAAGCACGAAAATCAAGATGTTAACGGTCTGGTCCCGGACGGGTTTGTGTCTTACATAGCCCACACCAAGGTTCCCGGCGTCGCTCTGGGCCAGAGGTTATACCGCTTTGGAGATGGTTCTGACATCCCCGATGTCGATGTGGCCTCAGATGCGCCCAGTACCAGACCGCCAGGAAAGCGTATCACGCAGTATAGCATTCCCGAGGGGCAGTTCTGGACCATGCGCAAAAGTGAGAGAGACCTGATTCGGGCCAAATTCAGCGTGCTTTACAGGTCAGCACCCAGTAATTGTCGTCTGGCTTATACTGACCTTTCTTCTCATGGAAGGAAACTTCTCGCAGCAAGTGTCAAAGTCGAGAATCCTTATCTTGACAATCTGTTTTGGGATCAGAACACACAGAAACTGTCAGTTTTCATCTTGACTTTTTTTCACAGCGGATGACAATCTAATTCTGCGCTATGAATCTAGCTACATTGACGGTGTATTCGTGCCAACAGATGGAACGGTTACCTGGCGCCCGCCGGAGGTGGGCTTGTGGGGTTTGGCTGTGTTTCCAGATCGACATAATTTGGGTCTTCAGGATGAAAACGACACGGATTTTGTTGCTGCAGGCTGGATTTTGTAGGCATGGGCTAGAGCGAGACGACCGGAGATGTTCTTGTTGGTGCTCCTTGGAGCTGAACCAAGGAATCGAAACTAATCGGGGCTGTGAGGTGGTGAGCGCTGCTGATAGGCTTCGCGTATAATGGTCGCTGGAGGTAGTCGATAACATCACTTCAGAGTAACTTGGTCGCCTCCTAGGCGTTGCTGATTCCAGAAGGCTACCAGAAGGCCAGTCTAGTACTACCGCATGCTCCTCGACGATTAGTTTGCCTCGGAAGCTGCTACTATATAGTCCAATACGCCAATTGTTACCAAATATGTAAAACTACAGGACTTGAACCGCCCAATGCGAGATTATGTACACTAAAAAAAAGAAAAGAGAGAGATAGAGAAAACACACGCCACTGGCAAGAGCTAAAAACGATTTGGTAAGACAGAGGTGACCCCCCTAATTCCGCAGGAGAGGCAGGCGTGGGTTTTGTTGGCCCAGAGAGCTCTGGAGGCCAAGCAGGCTGCTGGAAGTTTCCTTCTGGCTTCGGAAGCAACCTACGAAGGGCAACACTTTGCGAGCATGCTGATGCCATCTTTGAGAGAAGTGACCACTCTGGAAAAGGCCTCGGGCATCCTATAGGGCCAATGCTGACTGCCGTATGATATTGAGCACATATTACGTTCATGTCAATCTCAAGCCCATAGCCAGGGTCGTATGCCATCAAGCTTGGTCCACTCAGACGGAAGTAAGTTTCACATCCCGAAGAAGAGGCCAGGTTGACCGATTAGCTACCTGCAAATACCGGAACCTTTACATCTGGGTTCTCAAAAACAGCTTCCCAGTGCTCCTTCACCTGCTCACAAAGTCCACTCTTGGACTTCCAGGATTCAAAGGCTGGCTGCATCTCGCACGCCACGGATACCGTCGCCTCCCAGAACGCCCTCTCAGCGTCATATCCGAGACGTTCCATTGCCTCGGGTGGATGAGTCCAGAGTCGAGTGGGTTTGCCGTCAAAACCGATCAACTTCTGGCCCAGCAGGTCATTGCCTGGATTGAATTCCGGGTCCCCAGCATGAACGAAGAAGGCCCGGGGTGGCTTGGCAACTGAAGGGTCCTTGACTCTCCATTTCTGTTGGCTTGTCAGGTTATAATCCTGAATGGGATCGGCTTGGATATATCCAGCATTGATTGCGACCTTTGCATTCCAGGGCGTGACATTTCCAACGTCCACCGCCTTCTCACTAACAGAGTAAAAGGTCTCGTTAAGGGCAGCTGCAGCATGAAGGAAGGTGTCTTTATCGCCCGCACCGGGCGCATCCTGATCAAGGAGAATGTAATAATAATCCGGTCCATAATAGTTGTAATAAGCAGCGAGCAGCAACGTGGAAAAATGAGTCTTTTTCGAAACAGCAAGGATTCCAGCCTCGGTAGCCTGCCGTGCAGTGGAGAGAGGTTCGGGCTGTCGAGAAATGTTAAAGTATACCGGCGCAGCCGAACTAGCCCAGAAATCCGGCCAGGTAACAAGGCCGGTGGATTCGAAAGGTTCAGAGTCGAGGATTACAGCGGGATCGTAGAGAGGGACACAGTCCGCGTCCAACCACAGGAATTTCTCAAATGAGGAGAATAGCATCGCGAACGACTTGATCTGAAAGCCTTCTATCTTCTCCGTACTCTGCAGGCTGTCCTGACCAGCAAGAATATCTGAGAGAACCAAGCATTTTGCGCCCAGCGGGGGTAAAACAGTCTCGCAAATCGAGGCTTCATACTCCGTCCGATCCTTCATGAAAAGCTCCACTGGCAGCGTCGATCCAGTTCGCCGTAGTAACAACAGAGATACTAGGAAAGTAGGTAGATATGTTCCGCCTGCGGAGGACACAATACCGGTTGTTCCGGGTGTGTAGGCACGGTCAAGCTTCAGACTGTGGATAGCATGCAGAAAGCCATCATGCGCCGCTTGCATGGGCAATAAAATCTCATCAACATTGGAGACGTAGTTAGGGCGAGCGGTTTCTTTTAACGCATCAAATCGTTGGGTGCCCGCGCTACCATGCAGGACCGGTTGAGAACAGTTGGGCTTGTATTCCTCCAGCAGGGGATGAAGCTGCTGCCACAGCCGGGAGTGCGAGTGCTGGTCTGGAGGCGGAGAGCTGTATCTTTCCCGATGCAAGTAAAAATAAAAATAAATTATGTTGAGGAGGAAGAAAATAGCGCAGAAGTACGGAAGAATGGTTCTGCGGAGAGCCAACATCCCGTCCACGTTGATGAGGTGCAACAAGAGATCATGGAAGTCATGGGAGGATTCGAAGTGGCGCGAAGAGAGGGCCAACAGTCCGTAATAATAGTACAGCAAAACTCCGCGCTACAAGGGTCCATGTTGCTAGGCATCATTAACCCTGTCACTTTAGCCTTCCCGGCCAGCCACAAATAAAAGGGGCGAAAAGAGGGCGGCTAGGCCTTCACGGTCAGAGACTCGGAGCTCGAAGATAAATCGAAAGTAAAGCGCTTCTCTCAACTACGCGCTACACAAATAGAGTGACAATAATGGGTTCTGGATGACATTTGGAGAAGCCGGGTCCCCAATGCTTTTACAGCGGACATTCAGGGACAAGACAGGACTGAATTGGAGGTCAGATGGCAATTTCAACAAAAGAACATACAACAGCGGGGATTCGCTGTCTGAAAGGGGTCCATCATGCCTGTGGATATTGGCGCAAGAAGCGGGTATAGGTTCTAGAAGACCACCACCACTAATCAGACTCCATACATCTCTGTTGCCTGGTATCACAACTACCTCAAGCCCATTCCGTGCAGTCCATGATAGTGGTGTCTGGTCAAAGTAATCCCTTAAGTCCCCTGCAACACCTCTGTCAAGTAGTATCTTCACAACTGCCTCATGTCCGCTCGCTGCCGCCCATGACAGTGGTGTGCGCTTATAAGAATCCTCAGTGTCTGGATCATGCTGGTTCCGGATTAACATTTGTACAATGTCGCTCAGGCCAAAATACGCCGCAAGGTGCATGCTTGTCATTTGCCGTGGCACACCGTAACTGTAGTAGAAGCCGATATAATCTTCATCTACTAACATTGCCTGACTTGAGCCGGATGTGTAAGACTCACTATTAAGGAACTCTAACACCATCTCCGTGACGACTGAGTACGCTTCAAGATCCACACTTGCCATTTGCGTTGGCATATCCTGACTTAAGCTGGACACCTTGGCAGCACCGTTAAGAAGGCTTGAATTAGACTGTCGCGCCCTAATTGAAGCTTCTCGAGCATGGTGTCCCCAATTACGCGCAGCGTAATCATACAGAACGTTTGACTGTAACCGTGTCTCAAATTCTGCATCGTCTGAGCAGAATCCGGTCTGAAATGTATCGAAAGATAGATAAGTGATGCAGGTTTTCACGATTTCAAGCTCCGCATCAGGGAACCAGCGACTCTGGGTACGCCGAAAGTATTCTTGCGTCGTGTAGTGGACCAACCGAATCATACCGCTTTCTCCATCGATTGTAACCAGCCCAAGGCATAGGGACCGTACGAGGTTGGTACTGGGAAGGTAGTCTTTGTCCAGTTTCGCGGACTGGATCTTAACAGCAAGGGCATGCCGAATCTCTTCAGTCGAGAGTTGCCTTCTGGCATAAAAAATCCAAAACAGGATTTGTTTCGAAAGATCTCGTCTTTCTCTTATTTGATCCTCAATCCTCTCCATCGTCTGGTTGTAAATTTTGTCTAGTGCCTCTTCTCCTTTAGCAAGGTTCCGTAACGCATCCTTAATGTGACCCTTCGTTGGCAAGGATATGAGCGATTTTATGTGCAGCTTTGCGAGCAAGAACCTGATGTTCGGTTTCAGCAGAATCCTTACCAGCTTTGGGGGCCAGTTATACGCCGTACATTCCACCAGTTGCATCAACCACGGTTCGCTTGATTTCATTTTTTGTGTCATCATCCAGAATATCCAAATGTTGGAGTCGCATTCGTTCATCGAGATATATCTCTACGTCGTGGTCTGTCGCACGGATTTCAAGGGAGATAGCGTTGGTAAATAACTTCTCAATCTCGCCATTCATCCGAGAAGTTGCAAAAATATTGATCCCACATCTAGCTTGGATATTGAAAATCTCGGACAAGAATTTCTTCGGCCATTCTCAGATTCTCGGCATTCATCAAGCGCGTCGACGAGGATAAATACTCTTGAGTACTTAACAGCCACAGAATAGAGGGTACGTGAGATCTCTTCCAGTGATGGCCGTGTTCGGTCAGTTTTATGCTGATTATACAAGTTGCTCACCTCTCCTGGAATGGTCGGTAGTCGCCCAGATAACTGTTTCAGCAAACTTGAGAGTAATCTGTCGGCCGTCTGTTCGTCTTTCCGCTGGAAGTTGCAGTAAACATACGCAACGCCGAGGCTTCCATCTTCGAAGGTGCGTCTAGTGAGGTAGTTGATTACAACAGACGTCAAGATTGTCTTCCCAGCGCCTGGAATTCCGGGGCAGAACAAAGTTCCCCGGCTTGTCTTGAGCCACATCTGAAACTCCATTGAGTTGAGTAGCCATTCGCCAGTTCCAGCTTGTCGTCTCCGAAAATAGTCGCTTTGCAGAGGGCCGTAGTCGTCTGGCGTGATCCAGTTGAGTAAGTCATGATCTTCTTTTCTGGCTAACTTAGACCTCATCGTGTCGACGTTCGCTTCGATTTTGCCAAGAGCTAAGTTTATCATAAGCAAGCATACAAAACGGCACATTTCTGCGAGAAAAAAATATGCCGAGCAAGCTCAATACCTCAAGGCGACGCACATTGCTTAATCGGACATAGATCCATGACGCCTTGCCCAGGAATAACGAGTAGAAGTTCTTTAGCATATGATGCTGCCGTTGCCGCTGCATATGGCTGCCAGATCTTATTCTTATGGGAATCAGCATAGTCGCAGATACCCCGAATGACGAGGCAGGGAAACGAGTCCATTAACCCTGATTGAAGAGTTATATATGGAAGTTTACCAAGATGGGAAAAGACTTACCGGCAGCCTCCATTTCAAAACAAATGATTTTCTCCTTCTGTGCCCACTTATCTCTTAATACGGCGTCCCTCATCACTTGATCCGCTGATCCAATGGTTCCATAATGTATCTTGGGAGCCGTTCCATGTCGGTCCGTTCTCCTCACAAGGTTCACGTTGTTGGGCCCACAGCAAGCCTTGCATGACTTCCTTCCCTCCAAGTGAACGATGTCTGGTTTGAACAACCGATCTTTCGCCGAACCTGGGTACCGAAATTCTTCAGCCATGCCAGGATTCTTTGACAGGGCGTCTGCTAAAAGCTCAGAAGTCGTATGGCCTTTCCGTCTATGCTGTTGCTGGAGCACAGAAACCGCGCTCAAGACTATTACCGGGGGCTTGTTGAGTTTGCCGCCGGTATGAACAAACTCCTTCTCCTGCAGTGACTTGCCAAAATCATACTGCACAACCGCTTCTGCTGACTTCGAATGCAGGCTTACCACAACATCACCAAGTCTTATATCTCGTATATCTTCCAAATCATCTTCAGAATCCTCCTCCTCCTCCTCCTGCTCACTAAATTCATTGTTGTCGTATCCCTGCGTACCGTAATATGGAGCCCCACCGCCGATGCCAACCATCAGACCAAATCGGACAGCTGGGAAGCTGCGGAGCATATCTTTGGCAACAGTAGCAGCGGACACTTTGCCTGTCGTTTCTGCAGGCAAGCAAGCAATTACTATATTGTGATCGCCAATCCTACCAAGGAGGTACGAATTTGTATCTTGCGACTGGACGGCAGGAAGCACTGGATGTTCTTCATCCAGCATGGCCCCTGCGGCCACGAACTCGGTTTCTGGCAAAGCACATATCCACCCGACAGTGTAATCACCATGTGCGAACTTTCGGACAGTTTGGGGCATCCTCGACTAACTCGGAGAAGCTCAGTTTTGCGGTTATCATTCTATATATCGAGAATCACAAGTGGGCTAGCTGCTGTCGAGTGTCCGGCTAGATGGGTAGATAAATAATTACAGCGAAACCCCACCCCTGATGGGAATGTTAGCTTATTCTTAATATGCGGGCCTGTCCTCTACGGCGGCTAGGTAGCCTTGAGATGATCAACTCAGCCTGGTGGGCGGGTTGGCGTTCGAGACATTGTTTCTTGGTTGGGTTTCCTGCTTGGCCATCAGAGCATGGCTTATCCACCAACACCAAGCTACCGCCCAAAAACCAAGCTATGGTAAGTCCACACGTTTGTTGAATCGAGTTATCTGACAGGAAATAGCCCAGGGAAGGACATAAAGGATGTTCGAAAGCAGAGATTGGCCTAAGTACCAGTATGTGCAAGTTGCTAGCAATATTGTCGCCAGTTGAATTGACTGCGTGCCCTCTGATTCTCTCCTTGGGCTTTTACATGTCTCCTTGGAACATTTGTATCTCTTGCCACCTTCAAAATTGGAGCCCTTAGGCAGTGCTTTGTGTAGCACGCACAACTTTCCCCAAATAGGATCTCAATCACAACCAAACTAAGGATCCTATTGCAGACCAGTAAAGTATATAGTGTACGGCGTAGGCTTTGCCTGGTGTGGCAGTGAGAGAGAGAAAGTGTTTAGGGAGTTATGTACTGCACAATGGTCAGGACTTGGAAAAAATTGTTCTTGAGCAATTCGGAAGCACCAGCCACAAAAATCAACTCTAAATAAGATATTGCCCCATTTGTGTGAAAAGTTTACTTAGGTTTGAGTGTATCATCAGTAATCACTATATAGGTACTTAGGGACATAAAACTGAATGGTACCTGGTATTGAACTCTCCCAGTTGTCTCCTCGCTCCATCCTTTCTCAATCATATTTTAACTGAGTACCGCAAGCTGCTCACAGCTTGCCCTGGCCAGCGTTGGAGGTAACACTGGAGATAACAGTGGTGTAGGCGGAACTAGAGGCGATGTTCTTGCCCTTGAATTTGGAGAGGAAGGCTTCATCAGCCTGTTTGAAGCCGCCGGAACTTGTGAAGCCGTTGACCTGGCAAGTATGGCCAAGGTAGGAGGAGCAGACCTTGTTGGTAGTGCTATCAGGGGAAGTGAAGAGCTTGCCGGTGATGGGTGACTCGGCAACTACCTCGACATTTCGGAAAACGTTTCCTTCAGCGAGGACATACGCACCGGAGCTGATCTCAAAGGCGTGGCCGGAGTTGTCATACCAGTAGTTGTTAACCTGCATCAGTTAGATCGAAGACATACACGGGGAATGGTGAGGAAGAGGGACGTACAGCGTGCAATAGAGTGTTACCTGTGACCTTAGGGGAACGGCCACTGGTGTGGTAGATGTAGTTACCCTTCATGGTGACCATGTCGTTGGAGCCGTCAAGGAGGATGCTCCAATAGTGATGTCCATCGCAGGTGGCAGAGTAGTCCGAGACACCATTGATATAGCAGTTGGATATGGTGACGCGGTTGTCAGCCTGTGTGCCGAGAACGATGTGCTGGCGGCCGATACGGGCGGTCTAGCACCTACTGATCAGCACCATCCTCTCCTGTGAGAGGTGCCGTAGTCAAGGATGGGGAGAACTTACAGTGACGTGGTCAATCCAAACGAGATCAGCATTATTGAGGGTAATGGCATCTCCACCCCAAACATATTTAGGGTTGATATCAGTAATCGCGATGTTCTGGATGATGACATTCTTGGCACCGCTGACAATTCGTAGACCCTTACCCTTAATGACACCGGCGCTGCCCTTACCAATCAGGGACTTGTTAGAGTTCACAGTGATACCAAGAATACCAGCGTTATCATAGCTAACGCTGGCCTTAGCCACGCCGGACTGGTATTTATCGCACCAGGAGTTCTGGTTGATGGCGAGCTGGCACTTAGAACCGGTACCCCAGGGGGCGCAGCCGGTAGCGGTGGTGGTGCCTTCAGTGCCCCGGAAGTCGAAACTGGTGATTTATTATCAGCTATCCTGTCGTCTGGTTGGGGAGACGGGGGATGTACGTCTTGGTGAGGACAATGACACGAGCCTCGCTGTCGCCGAGGTATGAGACCAGCTCATCAGTCGTGCTAGGGTAGACCGGGGTGGCACTTCCACCACCGGTAACGCCCTTAGCAAATCCCTCAGCGGCGCCAGAGACGCCAATGGCTGCGGCATTGCTGGCCAAAGCAGACGTGACCACAGCAAAGAGAGGGATATATTTCATGTTGAGAGAAGGAATGACTAAGGATCAAAGAATAGAGGAAATAAGCGCTAAGAATAGAATAAAGAATGAATCAATGGACGAGCACTTTGAACGAGCATCCTCACAATAGTGGGGAGGAGACGAAGCTTTTAAATACTCTGCCCCTGGGTTTTTGGACATGGTCTAGATGAGTCAGTCAGGCCCAGTTGATTTTCCGCTAATTTCGGCCGTTGACCGACGAACGAGAGCTTCATAGTACTAGCTCGGCAATGATGGGCTAGGGGACGGGTGTAACCTTAGGTGTTTCATCAAGCTACCTGGAGATACTTAGTCTTTACCTCTTTGTGATTAGCCTTTGATGGTCTGAGAGGAGAGGAGCTTATGAACCCCTTTACATCTTTTGAAAAACACTTTTTTGGCATGCATGAAGGTTGATACATCCCAGAGAGGGTAGTTAGCTTGAGATGGAGGTCGTTGCATCTGTTCGAAACGTTAATTAGAACAGTTTGGCTCCTCTGAGTTTCGCAGATTGATATAGTATCATTTCCGTCTTGGGCACAAGGTTCATATACTAATAACGAATGCCCGCGCTACAATTCTCTATCGTGTACGTAGAGCGTAATATTAGGCTAGTACCAACACAAGGTTATCCAAGGTATATTGGCATACGCGTCACCAAACGCTTTTTTCAATAACTACACCGACCTAACACAAATTCAGAAAAGATACGCTCTGCGACCCCACATGTAGGAGTTAAATAGAACACTGTTTCTAACTATATCGTTGAAACTTTTGGTTTTTGGGGGAGAGTGAACGCAAGCTTCTTTGGAGTACCCTTTTTTTGGTGGACGGCGGGGCTAGGATACTGAACAGTGCAAGATGGTGAGATGAGGTTGTCAATGTACACGTGGAAAAGGGCTCTCCCAGTCTCATGCGTCGGTCGGCGACCGCCTGTGTAAAGAAGCACTGTAATTTTTATATTCTATAGTACTGAGTGCAACTTTGTTGCTTGTTTCTGGGGTACACTATTGTCCCCAAGGCCACTTGTACTAGTCTTAGCAGAGATGACCACGAAGGGGAAGGAAAATGTCACGGGCAGTGACTGGATTATTGAGAAGGACAGGTACTCTTCGGTGAGCAGTGTAATCAGATCTTTCTTGGAGGATGTGTATCTACTGGCATTGCACATAATGGGACCTGGATACCAGGGATCCGCGACTTCATGGGACGGAAATAGCAAGCTAGAGGGGACATCCAGTCTTGAATAAACTAGAAGCCCTAAGCGATTTCCAGATCTGCGTGGGCAACTTAGACCCAGCCCATATCTGGGCAGGCGGCTGAAACATCCCCTCAGCATCTCGAGTGCTAAGTGACTTGATGTGTTACTTTGAATAGCTTGTACATCAAGATTAACAGCGCCCGGTCAAAGTCTACCAGCTAAAAGAGACCAGCAAGGGCTGCTTTAGAGATGGATGAAAGCAGTTCTTGAATAAGGGTAAAGGCTAAAGCTGAAGCATCTGAAGCACCAGGTTCTTTGCCTACCTCCCACAGTGCTTAGCCTTATTCACCAGATGAAGACGGCGCCCACAGGACTAGGTGGCTAGGAGCCTCATGTGGAATCAGATCAAGAGACAGTCCGGTCAATGCTTCTCTAAGAGGACTTTAGGATCAATACAGATGCATTAGCAAGAAACTCCAAAGCTTGCAGCTCTACCAACTAGATATCTAAAATGCAAGAGCTCTCCCCGCCCGTAATACGCGGGCGTGAAAGTTTCTATACCGTAACAATTTCTCGGCTATGATATTGTTCCTGCGGGATATTCCAACCCCGACGTAGTGGCAGGTTCAATTGAGCTTTGGGTCCTCCTTATTTCTCCTCTCCCGTATACTGTGAACCGGCCCTTGTCCTACATTCTCTTTGTGACCCTTGTGTCTTGTCGTATCTGCCCTACTGAAGGCGCTGTCTACCCTCTATCTTTTCTCCTTTAGCGTTGCTCTCGCCTGGTATTATAATCTTGTTTGCTAGCCCGGGTGGCTATATTTGTGCCCATGATAGCCAGCACTACAGGTAATGCGGCGAGAATATCCCAGAGCGTTATATGGAGGGAAAATTTTTTTTATTAATTACAAATGAGCCTAGAGATGACTGAAACGACCCAAAAATCCTCTAATTGGCCGCAGCAAGGTGTAGGCGAGTTCCATAATAAGGCCACTTTGACATTGGTGATGGTTCAATGTTAAGCGAAGGTGGACCACTTCCCTCAATTCTTGTTAGAAGCCAGGACAGGTCATCCTGCTGGTGCAATGTTCCAATCATTTGAAGGGCTGGGGCACCAACTAATAGATGCTTCGTTGAAGGAGTTTGAGTTTCGGACAGCCGCACCCCAGCCGACCATGGCCGAATCATAGCTCGGCTCACTTGGCTGAACGAGCTGCCTTTCCAATATACCAGGACATGAAAGGCCCTCATGCGAGCTGGCTGACTGGGCTGTAAGAAGATAAAGGAATGTCTACATCATTTCAGCATTCAGTTAAATTGCATTCTTGGACTGCATCCTTCATGAAAAGTAACCACGAGTTCTGCTGGTATTTCCAAGGCGAAGAGGATGAATACTGGCGGCGAGGTGAGTGGTTGTGGCTGGGTCAGAGTGACGATTTTGTATATGGTCCAATGAGAGATAGCACAAGCAAAGGGGGAACCCCCACATCCTCATCCACAGCCCACATAGAATATTGCGATAACACGCCAGGAGGAGCCGTTAGACAATGTGGTTACTCCTTACTACAGTCCCATGGTTCCGGGGTCGGTTTCTTTTTAAAGCCTATCAAAATTCCTGATGGAATTTCTATTTCGAACTATAGTTAGAGTTATCCGTGCTGCCAGACATGCCCCGTCTGTGACGAACAGAAATTGCGAAAGCTAAGCCCATTGGGGATGGGCTTAACGCCTTTCGTGATGTCCTGAGAGAACTGTGTGCACAGTTAGACATCGCTCGGCTTTTTGATGCGGCCAAATTGGAAAATAATGAAGGTAATACAACGCTACTTATTCCAGTTGCCTTCGCCCTTTAAATAGAATTCAAAAATCAGTTAGTCGACCTGATTGTGATCTTACAAAGCCTTCCCTCGTCATCGCATTTACCATCAAAACTAGCCAAGGAACTCTTCATAACGATCTCAGACGGTTTATCTTAATAGTGTTGCCTACTGAGCTAGGATGACTGTACTATACTATATACGGAAGGGCTCCTTTCAGGTAGGCCACGTAATCTTGGCAGAAGAGCGAAGCTTATCATGTACCATGCCAAGCATTCTGGCGGAGCACTACGGCGGACATCTCAACCAATAGGGAGGGCTTGGGGGCAAGACCCATTGAGGTAGTCTTGAATCTCTGAGCCGGTTGGATGAGACCGTTTAGAGACGATGATCCTGTGGGTCATTTAGTTGGGTCTGATACGAGAGTACATGTCCGCAAACCCTACTAACCTCCACCACAAATCCTTTGTTGACTAGGCCACTAGGCTGACTTGAAGACCAGTTCAGGGATCCTATCCTTACCTCTCTGGGCAAAAGGCCCGTAGTCCCTATCACAGTAGTCCTTCCCCATGTGGGCTGAGGCAATCTCTGAGCAGTTGGCTCAGCCTTCCCCTGGAGTTTCAGTGTTCTCCTTACCTTCCCCAGGTATCCCACTGAATCATTCTCGCCATTTTTCACCATTCTCGTCATGCACCGGTCATGGAACAGCTAGTGTTCCCTTTAGCAGACTATATTCAGAGTTGCCATTGGCGCTTGCGGTGTTTTCATCTATTTAATATGGTTTAGAATGAACTCAGACCATGATAATATGCCCCCGCTCCTCACATAACTCATCCCAGCAGGCCACTGTACATGCCAATCATCCACTTCATTTCAATGTGCCGACTGCCTCACCTATTTCACCTCACCACCGCCATCAGAAGCAGAACACCTTGCAACTTGGAGCTTCCAGTACAGATAAGACAACCATAACCTAGGCCTGAGCTAGAGTCAGTGCCATGCAGCATTCCCCAGTCTCTTCCAGGATATCCACCAAGGGGTCAAGTATTAGAAGTCGCGAGGAGGCATATCAAGAGATAATCTGAACACAGTCCCATTCAAAGATGGTATGGCCCGCGCCATCATCTCTAATAGAGACCTGTATGTTGTGGTGATAAGAGCAAATAGGAACAACCACCAGTGCAAGATCCTTAGTACTCTAGGATCTATCCATCAGGCGCTCTCTGCATCCTTAAGTCATACCTCGCACCCCATAATTAAGTTTATCTTCTTAATTAAAGATCGCATGGATGACATTAATGCAGTTAGCTACCCAGTCTGGGTGTTATCAAGGAAAGCATCTAAGGAGTTAGTCATTCTAATACCTAATTTCAGGTACTAGTCCTGGGCTAAGAATAACATCAGCCTATATAGACAGGTCATAGAGTACATCATGACTGCTGAATCTAAGCTAAAGTTCACAGATAAGGAGCAGAAGCTTATCTAGCAGGGGAAGCTGAGCTTTGCACCAAAGCTATATTAGGCACTCTTAGATATTGCACAGGGTAAGCCTTAGTGTAATATAAAGGAGTTAGATTAGAGCAAGAAGGCAAACTTCTTATTAATGGAGGATCACTGCTAGTACATGTTTATTAGGCATGTCAAAGGTATATTTCTTTCACTTCAACTTTGCTGTTCAGAGCTAACAGATATCCTTATTATCCAGGTCATGTCACGGGCTAGAAGCCGGTTCAACCTATGACCTAGGTTTGGATGGTAAGAAATCGCTAAGGGAGAAATCTAGCTAGGGCCGCGGCGGCCAAACATAAAAAGGAGTGTGTGAATGGTTCTTGCGGTCATGTGACCGGGCAGATTGCTACATTGATTAGTATGAGGTCACGTGACCTGCAGCTGGTGTCCAGTTTGGACGTGACTTCGCGAGGGCTGTACAATTTGATTGAATAGCTTGAGCACCCAGCAGGCCCTGCCTACTACACTACCCCCCCCTTTCCCCTCTGAGGTGGCGGCTCTCCCAGGCGTTAAGTGCTGCTGTGTTGGTGAGGTTGACAGCAGGCTCC